TTTTTAAATTTAAGTTTATTTATCTATTTTGAGAGAGACAGAGCGTGCACACAGCAGGGTCAGAAAGAGGGAGACAATCCCAAGCAGGCTCCACACCAACCGCGTGTAGCCCCAATCAGGGCTCGACCCATGAACCGTAAGATCATGACTTGAGCCTAAGTTGGATGCTTAACGAAGCCACCCACGTGTCCCAGTGATCATCACTTTTGTTTGGTAATATTTGGTTGATATTTTTTTCCATTTATATTCATGAGAGGAATTTCCCTGTAAATGCACTTTTTCAAGTGATACTTACCAAGTTTTGTACCAAGTTTCCATAACCTGATAAAGTAAGTTTGAGATTATCATTTCTGTTTTTTTAAAAAACAACTTATGTAAAATTAGAATTATTTCTTCCTTGAATTTGTCTGTGAAGCAACCTGGGTCTGGAATTTTTTTTTATAGGACGATTTTTGATTACTGAATTCGGTTGCTTTAATGGTTACAGAACTATTCAGGTTCTCCATTTCTTTTTGAGTAAATTTTGCTACACTGTATTTTTCTAGGAATTTGACCATTCATCCAATTCTTCATATTTACCCATATAAACTTGGTAACATAACGTTCATAATATTTATTACTGGCTATTTAATACGTGCACACTTGTGATATAGCTTCAGTCATTCTTGATATTGGTTATGTGCCCTTTATCACTTGCTCTCTGGTCTCATCAGAGGACTGGAAAATTTATTCATCTTTTACAACAATCAATTTTTGGAATTGGAATACTGGAATCAAATATTTTGGAAATATGACAACTTCCCACTTTGTTAATTTTGCTCTTGCTTTAATTCACTCCTACTGTTTATTACTTTGAGTTTTTCTTTTTGCTTTTTTTTGAAATGCCTCTTTATTTTCACCCTCTTTTCTCGTAACAGTTAAGATATAAATTTCCCATTAAGTACTTCTTTTAGGCATTCTACAATTGTTGTATATAAGAAGTTCAATTTCCTTATAATATTTAAAATTACTATTGTGATTTCTCTGGAATTTTGAAACTTATTTTCTAGCTATACATTTTTAAAAATTATTTGCAACTTGATTTCTAATGAAATTGGTAGATTTCCAATTCTTTTAAAAATGGTTGAGACCTATTTTATGACTCAGCATACAACCAATTTTTATAACTTTTCCACGTATTCTTCAAAATAATATGTGTTTTGCAGTTGTATGCCAGGTTCTATATATGTCTATGAGGTCAAGTTTCTTACTTTTGTCTTTCAACTCTGTATTCTTACTGATTTTTTCTGTCTACTTTATTCCATCAATTACTAAAAGTAGGTTAAAATGCTATTGTGGATTTGCTTATTTCTCCTTGCTGTTTTGGCAATTTATCCTTAATATATTTTGAGATTATGTTATTGTGGGCATTTAGGCTTTAAATTATTATATCTTCCTATTGAATTGAAACTTCAATTATTTACAAAGTGACTCTATCTCCAGTAACGGTTTCAGCTTTAAACCACTGCTGAATCAGTGCAGTTACACCAGTATCCATGTGATAAATATTAGCATGGTACAGTGTCTTCTATTATTATTTACATTTCACACATGAGGAATTGGTGGCTAAGGATAATACCCAAGAGAGACAGCCATCAGTGGTGCAATCAGGAACTCAGTGTGTCTCCCAAGTCTATGCCTCTCAACATCATAGTTCTCTTGTAAGTTCTAAAGAGTCAAGTCAGCTTAGGTTCGGGGGGGGGGGGGGGCGGGAATGCTCTCACTCTAATTTCTGCAAAGGATTTCTCATGAACTGCTCTCTAATTTGATTTTTCATTTAGCTTTGAGTTAAATTCTCACTCCTTTAATATTCTAAGTTAACATAACACTTTTAAAATTTCCTTAACGTACACACACAAAGAAACATTCTTAATCCAGAACTGCAATACTCAACCTCTTTCACTGATACACAAGAAAGAGAAGTCTCTAAAATGTTCTGCTCTTTGCCTTTCAAATAGGCACTATTACCAACAACTTCCATGTGCTTGACGCACACCACTGAACTGCAGCACAGTATCTCAATCTGCCCTAACCCATGTCGGCTGTAATATGATCAAGATTTCTGAGTTACCACATGGCTCTACTGAGAGGGAACACTTATTGCAACCTGACTGCAGGAAAAAGTCAAAAAGGATAGGCACTAAGCTGTTTCATCTCTCCTTGAAAAGACATATTTAGTATTTTTATTAACAGGAACATTAGGCAACATATAAGCCTTTTGGAATTTCGTATGTCTTCTATGTCTCAAATTTTAATATCAAATCATACTTATTCAAAAAATTGTGTAAACTATGAAGAAAATTAAAATTGGTCATGATTCCATGATCTAGAGCTAATAATATTTGATGTATTAACTTTTAAGTATTGTTTTCTGTCAATTTTATGTATTTGCAATATATATGTATAAGTGAATGTATGTGTGTGCATGTACATAAGTGTGCACACACACAAATTTATACAATGTATCTTTAATGTGGATTCTGACTTGTTTAACTTAATATTGTATTATGCATAATTTCGTGTGTCCTTAAAAATTCTTTAAAAATATTTTATTGACTGTATAAAATAAATGTACCCAAATTTATCCAACTACTGCTTCATGCTGGATAATTTAGTCAATCTCAAAATTTTCCCGTCATAAATATATGAAAATGAACAAATATATTTATATAAATTTTGTCTCTTTCTTTAATTGTTTCATTAAGTTAGATTCCTGGAAGTGAAACTGCCAAATACTGTTAATTGGGCCCAATATCCAGTCTCTTATTCTTTCACTGTAATAACTTCCCCAGACTTATCTCCCAGAATAAAAACTACATTTTCCAGCCTTTTTAAGCATGGCTTGGTTGTTATGACGACATTCTAGCCAATGAAATGTAAATGGAAGGGATGTCAATACCTTCCAGAAGATTTCCTTAAAGGGAGGGAGCATGATCTTCTCCTACTGATACTTCCTTCTTGTTGCTAGCCTAGGGACAGGATTACTGGAATACCAATTCTGGATATTCTAAAACACTAGGTAACAGTCCCGTGTTCAGAGTAACAGAGCAAGATACGAAGGATCTGGGTCCCTCATGACCGTGGAACCATCCAACCAGCTCTGAACTGCCTACACAGACTTCACAGACTTCGCAAAGAGAAATACACATGTCTACTTTTTTTTTAACTATTTCAGATGACCTATAATCAAATCATTTCCAAACTAGTGGAAATTTTACGTAGAATGCTTTGGAAACATTTAATTAAGGCTCATATCAGAGATGTCCAAATCACTTCTTGAAAAGTTGAACAAATATAACCTTTTCCCAACATTATTAAAAGTACTCATCTTCCCCACGTTCTTGTTACAACATTATCCTTCCAAACCGTTTTTGTTTTTTTTGTTTTTTTTTTTTTACTGGTTAGATAGTAAGTAGAGCATAACTCTGCATTTCTCTTATTAGCATACTGCATTAGAATTGTATTCCTCATTAATTATTTGTTCTTACATTTTATCTTTTATGTTTTTAATTTATTTTTTAACATCTATTTATTTTTGAGAGACAGAGAGAGACAGAACGTGAGCGGGGGAGGGGCAGAGAGAGAGGGAGGCACAGAATCCAAAGCAGGCTCTAGGCTCTGAGCTGTCAGCACAGAGCCCGACACGGGGCTTGAACTCACAAACCATGAGATCATGACCTGAGCAGAAGTCGGACGCTCAACCCATTGAGCCACCCAGGCGCCCCCTTACATTTTCTCTTTTAAATTAAGATGTTAGTGCTTTCTGATACTAAGACCTGTTTACATGTGATGTTCACTATATTTATTAGAAGTAGCCCCAGGTTTACACTTGCCTTTTAATTGTATTGATATTGGTGTTTTCACTTGTAAAACTACACAAGTCTCATATTTGCAATAATCCATTTGGACCTATTCCACTTCTGTTAGCATAAAAATCCATTACTCACTATGCTTTCTTCCATATTATATTGTTTGATTTGTCTATGAAAATATGAAGTCTTATTTATAGATACTTTAAGGATATTATTTAAGTTTTAACAATTAATTTTTAAAGAAGTTAACCAACACAATTGATTCTAACGGTTTTCACAAATAAACTTGCATCTTGAAGTTCTACAAACATAAGTCATAAGACCTTAAGAGTCGATTAGCTAATAAGTTTTAGTCCACTATGCAAAAAGATTATTTTTCCATAATTCATTTTAGGAAAAACAAAAAAAGAATTCCTTTTCCATCTTATTCGTGACAAACTTCTAAACAAAGGCTCCCTTACCTCCAACCTTTTCTGATGTCACCCACATGATAGTCAGCCAGGGGATAATAAAAGGATTTTCAAGTGTGGGTCTGTGGTCAAACTTTCAGTTCCTGTTCCCAGAGTGTAACTTTTTTTGAAAAGACAAACAAGCATTTCATAAATGCACTCACGGATAGATGCCCACTAAATATTTTTGCCAAGCAAACTGAAAAAATATCTGTTTGGCCTGAGCAAAATTGCATTTTTGTATGTGTGTTTACAAAAGCATACCCCAGGGTACTTAATAGCCAATGGAAATTTTTATAAAATGTGTGACCTACCCATTGTGACCCAAAATATTTCCTTTGTAGCAACAACAAAAAAGCAGGAACAAATGTTTTAATGTTTCTCTGTTTTTCAATGGAGACAAAAAGCTTCCACAACTTCAAGAAAAGTATATCTCATTAAGAAAACTAAAAGAAATGTTGCTATCATCTGCTAGTTTAGACATTACCTTCATAATGAGTTTCCAAATTATAATTACAAATCCAGTTATCATTTGAATATAAAAGATTATGTACTATAGTTTTCTATGCATACGTCATGTATTTTACTTATAAATAAATTTAAAAAATAAGAGAAGGCATATAAACTTTCCAGTTTCGTGAAGTAGCAAGTGTACTAATCGATTTTTCAAAGGTGTGCATTATGTATTTTATGAATATACCTTTTTCCTACCCAGTGCAGTGCCAAAGTTCTCTGTTCAGCTTTCAGAATCTTGTAAACAGATTCACACAGGAATTGTGTCATCAGCAAGAGGAATCCTAGAAAAAATAAAACACCATTACCAATGCGTTGTTCCATGGGGTGTCTGGGTGGCTCAGTAGGTTAAGCATCTGACTTCAGCTAGGTCATGATCTCCTGCAGATTCTGTGTCTCCCTCTCTCTCTCTCTCTGCCTCTCCCCTGCTCACACTCTCTCTCTCTCAAAAATAAACAAACATTAAAAAAATGTTTAGGGGTGCCTGCGTGGCTCAGGTAGTTAAGTGTCCAACTTGGCTCAGGTCATGATCTCACAGTTCATGAGTTTGAGCCCCACATCAGGTTCTGTGCTGACAGCTTAGAGCCTGGAGATTGCTTCAGATTCTGTGTCTCCCTCTCTCTCTGACCCTCCTCCACTCACGTTCTGTCTCTCAAAAATAAATAAACATTAATTTTTTTTTAATAAAAAGATGTTTAAGAAAAAACAATGTATTGTTCCATCTTAATAAATGTATCAACATAGAACTTTTGGAAGTAGAGAATTTTCAAGTTTTTTTCCTAAGGTTTTCAAAGTAAATCTGTATATGTATACTTACATAAATGTATATAAAATATATAAATATAATAAAATCATTATGGGAAAAGAGGCATTAATTTGACACTGTTTAATGCTGCCAGAATTAATCTAAAAACATATGTGCATATATAGTTATCTGTATACATACATATATTGTTATCTGTATATACACATATATATTAATCCCCTCAGAAGTTGTTCATTTTGCTGATTTTCATGTAAACATCCTACAGATGCTTTAGGTCAGGCAACATTAAGATAAATTCTTATTTCTTAGAATGATTTATGAGAGATCTTCAGGTGTCCTCACAGGCCCTTTCCTTGATTCCATTCAGATGTATGATATTTGATGACATTGAATGAATGACATGCATTCATTCAAATGTATGACAACGACAGTCAGCACCATAACTGCTTAGTGGGAGTTATTCAGGTATCTCTGCATTCACATTTCTTGCTATATATCTCTAGGACTGTGCTGCCAAGCTCAGCTTCAGAAATACTGCTCTTGCCATTTTCATGAGTGAATATAGCTCTGGCTTGATTACCAGTGTCCCCAGTTTAGACAGAAATGGCCTCTGCTATTGGGGTGCCTGGCTGGCTCAGTCAGTTAATCCTCCAACTCTTAGTTTTGGCTCAGGTCATGATCCCATGGTTCCAGGGATCAAGCCCTGCATCAGGCTCTGCACTGACAGGACAGAGCCTACTTGGAATTCTCTCTCTCCCCCTCTCTCTCTGCTCCTCTGGCATTCACACAAACTCTCTCTCTCTTTCTCAAAATAAATACCTAAATTGAAAGAAAGAAAGAAAGAAAGAAAGAAAGAAAGAAAGAAAGAAAGAAAGAAAGAAAGAAAGAAAGAAAGAAAGAGAAGGAAAGAAAGAAAGAAAGAAAGAAAGAAAGAAAGAAAGAAAGAAAGAA